CTGGTAGGGTTGGGGAAGATTAACCTGGGGCAGGAGGGGCACCTCTTTCCCTGAGCTTGGAGACAAAAAAATATCACGTGTGGAGGCCTATATCTGTCAAGATTAACCAGGTTATATTGCGGCAACAACCTCCAAAATCTCTGTGGCTTAAGACAACAAAGATTTATTTCTCCCACGCCACACGTCCAGGGCCGGTTGGCTCTGACTTGGTTCTGTGCTGTCCACATTTCAGGATTGAGGCGAGTGCACCGGCCCCTGTCTGGAACACTGCAGTCCTTGCCACAGAAGGAAAAGAGAGAATGGCAAACCACGAGCAAGCTCTTAAAGCTGCTGCTGGGAAGGGAGGCACAGCATCTCGCATTTCATGGCTAGTTCACATTTCATGGCCAGAGCAACTCTACGATCATGCCTGAGTTCAACAAAACAGGGACGTGTGAATATGGGTGAACAACACCAGAGAAGAGCTTTGACTATGGGCCAACAATACAATCTATTAATAGCACAGGGCCCTCCTGCTTTTGTTGCTGATAAAAGTTGCTCCTTCATTCATTCGGTAAATATTTACTAAGCCCCTACTATGTGCCTGGTGCTATGCTTTGCTCTGAGAATAGACCTCTAAATCAGACAGACCTCTGCTCTCACAGATATTACAGTTCAGCGAGTTCCCACCTGCTGGCCTTTGCTTTTCTTACTGGTATAGGGGACATCATCTGCTGAGAGAGAGGGAGTTGTTTGGAGGTAAGGAGTTTGAGGAGAGAAGTAAATATTTCAAATAACTACCAAGCAAAATGGGAAAGAAAGCTGAATGGGGGAAAAAGGATTCCAGGCAGCATTGCATCTGTTGCTTTGGTTGGGAAACTCATGGCTATGCGATGTTCCCTGTCAGTGCTCAGTATCCTGGATACTCCAAGAGCAAAAAGGTAAGGATCTGAGGACTGGAGGGCTGGAGCCAGAAATCATCCTGATAATATGAAGGAATAGGGTCTAGGCTAGGTCATAGGAAGAAAGTAAAGTCATATGGGCAAATGCTGGGCAAGACACAATGTCTCGAGAGCTAAGGTTAGGTGTATCGTGGGGGAGGAAGTGACTCAGAAATGTAAGACGTAACAATCAAGAAATGCAGTGCACTCTGGGAGGCCGAGGCGGGCGGATTGTTTGAGCTCAGGAGTTCGAAACCAGCCTGAGCAAGAGCGAGACCCCGTCTCTACTAAAATTAGAAAGAAATTAATCGGACAACTAAAAATATATAGAAAAAATTAGCCGGGCATGGTGGCGCATGCCTGTAGTCCTAGCTACTCGGGAGGCTGAGGCAGAAGGATTGCTTGAGCCCAGGAGTTTGAGGTTGCTGTGAGCTAGGCTGACACCACGGCACTCACTCTAACCCGGGCAAAAAGAGTGAGACTCTGTCTCAAAAAAAAAAAAAAAAAGAAATGCAGTGCTGCAGTTTAAGGTTTTACAGGTAGAGCAGTTCTTGGTCTAGAAAAGTCCAGGGTGTAGAAACTGCGTGGGGCTGACTGATCTTTATCCAGGCCTTAATTGTTCTTTAGACATTGTCCCTGGAGTCAGAGATTATATCCACATGCAGCTTTAAAGTGATCTCACAATCAAATGTTGACTCTACCAGGAATAATGAATTAACTACCTATACTGTTCTGTCATTTCATAACTGCTCTGAAAAAAGAGCTGATGTTAATATAACATTTCTTTTTAAAGCCCTCCAGTGTTTCTTTGTACAGTACTATCTATCTACTGTTTATACACTCCTCTTGAATTGAATCATATTGAAATCGATTCCTTTTTCTGCTTCCTACTCAATAGCAGGAATTTTCAAGCTCCTTTTGGTATCAGGATTCTATGAACATACAGCAACTTCAACAACTATCCTTTCTCTGAGGAAGACAAAATGGTATTCATCTCCGAGTCATGTAAAGTAAGATGGGAACAAAAGGACATGAACGTGGAAACAGAAGAAAACAGAATGGAAGAAGAGGGAAAAACTATTTTAAATAATTACAAGAAAATCAGCCTTTTTAAGTTCAATTTTATTGAGACATAATTTATATATAATTCACCAATTTTAAGTATAGAATTCAATGAATTTTGACAAATGTATACATTACCCCCAAAATTTCCTCATACCCCTTTGTAGTCAATCTGCTTCCTTTAACCCCAGCCTCTGAAACCACTGATCTGCTTTCTTTCACTACAGCTTTGTCTTTTCTAGAATTTCATATAAATGAAATAATATAGTATACAGTCTTTCATGCTCAGCTTCTTCAAGAAAACAAGTTTTATGTGGAGGATATGAAAACAGCTTACAGGTTAGGGAAAGGCAAGGAAAATAAATAGTAAAGTACACCAGTCTGAGTGCCCACCTACTTTGGCTTCATCCTAAGTAACAATACCCAAGAAAAATCAGGTTTTATGTGTTAGTTATATTTTTTAATACTCATTAAAAGTAAATACATGATTATTAGAAATAAAAATGTGTGTCTGGGTACCACTGATACTCATTACATGTACCTCAGTGATAAGCAGAACTCACTTTGGAAAACTGAATTAAAAGACTGACATTCTTTACAGTTCAGTAGTCTTACTCTCTCAGTCATTGATTTGGGCTAGTGAGTCTTAAGTAACCACCAGCAAAAATGACACCCGAATCCCCACACAGCATCACAACATGCACATTTACCTGACTTTTAAGGTGAATTTATACCTTTTATTTTTGCTTCCAACATTTATTTTCCATTATATTTGGTTGGAATTAGAAAAATTTATGTTTGGACATAATGGAAAACAAAAACACAACTAAAGAGAGGAGAATATTGAGACTTGCCATGCAGCATACATAGATTGGGAAGATGTCTTGCAGGATGTGAGATTTGAAGACAGTTTAACATCAGTTGAGCAACTCAGCATTGCCCAGCAAACAGTCAGGAGAGTGTAGTGTAGTTAGACCACAAAGACATCGTAGAAAGTGTACAAGAACATTTTGCAGTGGAATGTCTGTGGATAAGCTATGCATTCATTCTTACAGCATGTGGGTTAGTTACTCTATCACTTCTGTGTGTTTAGACTAAGACTCCATAGTTTGCTGTGCCTCTTTGTGTGGTTGTAGAGGCTGTTTGAATCATTATAGAGTGCAGCACTGATACATAATTGTATCCATGAAGACCCATATCTTTTTGTAGACAAAGCTTTCTCCTGGGAAAGTAGAACTCTCAGAGGTTCCCCCAAGGGCCTTGGAAGTTTGAATAAGAAAAATTTCTAAGTTTAATTTTAAAAAGCTCTTCTTTTACATTTGTCTTTGTAACAACTGTTGCAAATTGGTAAGCCTGGAGGAGGTAAACAAAGGAAATGGATAGGACCATTGTCATGGGTTGCACACCTACTTTTCAGATGTTTTTTACTGAGGTGAAATCATGTCCAATTGGAATATCTGAGGCAACACTGAAATACAAAAGTGCACCAGAGGCTGTCTGGAAGGGTGTGTGGACACAGGAGTGGTTTAGGGTCACACACTTTGCCTGATCAAATGTGTGAGTCATAGGTGTTTCACAGCACTAGGAGAGGTAGAGACAAGGAGCTGGACGCCCGAGTTGCTGCACTTGATTGACCATTTGGTAGGAATGGTAGAATAATCCAGGGCTTTGAATCAAGTGGAGAGGGGGCAGTTTGAGACTATGTATTAGTTATTATTTGTCATGTTGTTGTGACCCATGAGACAAAAGTTTTTCAGGTATTTTGCATGTTACTAGATAAACAAATGTTAGCTCATATATTGTCTTTCAGGTGAGGCCATTTCAAAATGAAATCTTGGTTTTCTATTTGCTGATAATTTCATAGTTCTAAACCCCCGATTAATTCAAAATTGATCCAGCTTAAACACGTAGTTACATAAAAAATGTGCCTAATTCTATCTTAGGTAAATGGTAATGTTTCTCTTGGTAACATGACTTCATTGTCATCTTTTCCTCTGGAGATTGCTGTGAGGATTGAGCTCAATACATGTGCAGGCCTCATTTCTCCATTTAACAAGCAATGTCAATACATTTTTACTTGCACTGATATAAAACTTTTTTACTTTAAAACCGCAAATTCAACTCAAAGATTGCGAGATCAAATTTTGCTTCCTAAAAACTATGCTACCATAAACAAAGCCCACTTTGTAATCAGAATCCTATTTTTTTTTTTCCTGCATTAAGCAGCATAGAACAACAGTCAGTTATAGATACACGGATTCCAGGAAGCTAAGCAAGTAAAAATCTGTCATGTAAGTACAGTAGGTTATGTAAATTTTAAATCAATGAAGGAAAAAGCACCAAATTAAGAAGGGCAAAAAGGATCTTTTTCCTTCTTTGAATCGCACTGCTTGAACTAATATAACAAAATTTTCCCAAATCAAATATTTTAAAAACAATTTAATTATTCAAATGTTTTAAAAATAATTTCCCTCAGTAAGCACAGGAGAGTCAACCAAAAAACAAACCGTCTTGTTTTTAACCTCATTGCTGACAATAATTATAAATATATTAGTAGTATTTACTACACGGTGAGCCGCTGGGGATAGCTCCCACTTCATGATCTTTGCCCATAGCTTATCTACTATAGACGGAGGCAATTGTCAAGAGTATGCACTGACTTCAAAACATAGTCTGGACCAAAGTGGCTTTTATGTAAGTAAGTCCCAGCCATGCTTCCAGCTTCCTTGAAATGACTCTCAATTCACAAGTTCCACTACCACCACTACCACCATCGCCCCCAGGTAAAATGAGACATTTCTAATAACTCAAAGGACAGTCTATAAAGGTCCTGACCTAGTTTTCATTAAACTGCTTTTTCCTGGCTACTTGTACCCTATAAAACCTAAATCATAAAATTAAAAAAAAAAGCTGTTGAACAAAGGGAGTATTAGTTTCATGCAAAAACGCAACCATACATGAGAACTGCGCAAGTCTTTCTCGGAACGGTCTATATTTGGGTGAAGTCATTAAACGTCATTTCACTTCTCCACTTGGGGATTGCCAACTCGTTTCCCGGGATTTAAAGACGGTAACGATGACAAGTCAGTTTCCGCACCCTGTCAAAGACTTGGCCCATGGCCTTTTATTTCCCGGTAATATTAGAGTCAATCAGGTCTTGTCCCCTCATTATCAGGGAGGACTGAATTCAACTCTCGCGTTTCAACGCAGGCTATTTTCTCGGGGAAAGTCACAACATCTCTCAAAGGATCACAGAGCTCAGCCATAGAGCGCCGAGGAGAGCGGAGTCGAGACGTCAGACTAAACGGGCCCCTCAGACCCCATCCCTCCCCGCAGCTCCTCAGATTTTAAAGAGAGGATGAGGATCAGGAGGGACGAGAGGGATGGAGACAAAGGTGAGTAACTGTGCGCGCTGGGGGACGGGGAGCTGGACAGTGGGAGGCTCCTCGGCCCCTAGCCGGGTGGCGTCACTTCAGGAGGACTGAGGAAACGGGCCAGGACTGGCAGGATGGAAAGGTCCCGGGCGGGGCCCGCAAACCGGCTCCTCGCAGGAGGGACGAGGCTGGGAAAGCCCCCGGCCCCGCCCCTCCGCGCCGGGCCGGGAAATGAAACCGAGGCGGGATGGGGTCACGCGGCGGGGCGGCCCCGCAACCTCCGGCGTTCCCGGCCGGCGTCTGCGAGATAGAGCGCGTGCCTCACGTCCTCCCCGCCCCGCCCCCTGCGCGCTGCGCACGCGCGGCCGCACCCCGCCCCTTCGCGTCCCGCCGGGGTGATGGCGTGAGGGCGGGGGATCCGAGGTGGGCAGGCCTCCGGAGCTCTAGAGCTGCGAGCACGCGAGCGCCCGCAGCCGCCACCCGCGCCGCGTCACGGCTCCCGGGCCCGCCCTCCCTTAACCCCTCCCCCCGCTCCGTTGCCCCCCTCCTCACCCCACCTCCTCCGACCGAGTGGTGACTTAAGCAACGGAGCGCGGTGAAGCTCATTTTTCTCCTTGCTCTCAGCCGCGCCGGGGAGCTCGCGGCGCGCGGCCCCTGCACTTTGGCCCGAGATGAATGCTGCGGCAGAAACCGAGTTCAACATCCTCCTGGCCACCGACTCCTACAAGGTAGAGCTCGGGGCAGGGGCAGGTGACGGAGAAGGGGGACGCGTTGGGGACGAGCGCGAGGCTGGGGCCGGGGGGCGGCTGGGTCTGGGGTCCTGGCGCGGGGCGGCCCGGGGGGAAGGCGCGGGCGGCGGCGGGATCGGGCAGGTGAAGCTGGCGCCGCAGTGGGGAAGAGGTGGGTGGAGGAGGGATGGAGGGATGGACGGCAGGAGGCGGGGCCGGATTGAGCGGCTGCAGGGGCGCGGCGGGGGACCGAGGCGGGCGGGAGCCGGCTTCTGGGTTTAGGCTTAGCCCGCCGAGCGCACGCCCTCGCCAGAAGTGCGGCCTCTTGGCCGGCGGCTGGAAGAGCGGACCAGTTAGGTAACGGCCCCTGGGGCACGGCGCTGGAGAGAGGGAGCGGGGTTTTCCCCACCGCCGAGCTGGGTCCGGCGCGCTGTCCCCTTGCAGGCAGATACGTCCCTTCCAGAGGAAGAGGTGGGAGAAGTCCTGGTAGGGGCGGCGGAGCTGCAGCGTTCCCCTGCCTGTGGCCCTGGTAGAGGACGCCCATCTTCCCCCGGTAGCCGTGCTGGGTTCTGCCGTCCTTCTCCACTGGGCTCAGTATCAAACTCCTTTGCACCTAGCGATCACTCGTGCTCCTTACCCTTGTTGCAGAGGCCAGTCTGCTCTTAACTCCTATAGGGTCACTCCGGGATTTCTGTGAAAAGGAAAGTGAAACACGAGAAATTATGGGAACTGTAGTTTTAACTCCAGAAAACTTGTACAGGGGGAAATGGCACAACATTGTGTTAATGTGCCTATTGAACACTTGCATGTGTAGCTGCCACATTAATTTTATTTGAAACACATTGATAAAGGGAAGAATAATTAGAGAAAAATCTAGCAAATGTCCTTTCCCCTAGTTACATATTATATGACATAAACTGGACTATACTCTGCTAAGTTTTGTTGGTCAAGACACTCAAAATATGACATGTCAGACCAGAAACCCCACTTAAGTGAAGTAAATTTAGTTTTTACTTGAGTTACATGGTGGTTTGCAATCTAGTGGTAAAACATAGTACTATTATGGTTTTGGTTTTGGTTTGGAGTCTTTGCTTTTTTTGTTTATTTGTTTTAACCCTCCTTAAATATTCCGAAAAAGTATTTCAGAGAATCTCTTTTTACTTAAGTTCTATTTTGTCTGTTTCTTTCCAATTTGCTTAAGATTCTATCTGTGATATTTAGATGGGTTGTCATTTAAATTGAGCCAACATTCATCAACAAGTGGTCTTTCAATGGAATTTTAAAGTAGAAATCTACAGTATTGCAAGATCTTAATACTATCAAGTATGTCGTTGATAATATCAAGTATACTTGATAGTCCCTTAATTATGATCCTTTACTTGGCCCTAAAGCCTCCTCTTGTGTTCTCTTAGTTAAGTCAGTGCTTTCAGTATCTTTATAGTGATTTTAGAATGGTCTCATTCATAGTCTTGTAGAATTTTTTTTTCTTAACTAAATCTTTAAAATAATTTTTAGATATTTTTTAGTATTAGCTTATGAAATGATTGAATTGTAAATGGAAAATATAAATGGAGGGTGATTAGTCTAAATTTTCAAAACAAAAAAGGGTACAACTTCCTTTAGTTTGGAATTCCTCTGACAACTATATGTGAGTTGCTTTAACATCAGTTTTCTGAGATGCTCTAAGTTAGAATAGTGAATTACCTTAAAGTTTTCTAATCTCCCAGCAAGGCATGCTTAACTGCACTATTAGAATTTGCACCCATTTAATAAAGTTTATTCCTATACATTTTCAAGTCAGGTTGCTGTATTTCATCCCTTTTCTAATATGAAACCTTTTCAGAGGATTTCATCTTAGTAAGATTTTTCGTTTTTTTTTCCTCCAAAAATCCCCTCAAGAAGATTCAATCACGTTGATATGTTTTATACCAATGGCTTACAGCAGTACACTAAAATAGATTGTGTATTCCACAGTCACATTTAGTCTTTAAGTTTCATTTTACTTACATTTTTAGTGGTCCTTATGGCCTATTTTTCATTTTTGTCTTTTTATCTTCTTAGGCAAAGAAGAGAGAAAAAATGATAATCTTGAGGTTAGAAGTAATGAAACTTTTATTTAGAAATTACATAAGAGTGTTATATATCCTTATCAGTGCTTACAAATTATTGGCCGATTAAAATTGGGAACTAATAGTTTCAGATATGTTGATGAAGAGAGCAAAATATTGTTGATTTCTTCTTTCTGAAACTGAAGGAAGAATAACTGATTACCTAAGCACTACAAAAAGCTTTTTTGCAAGTAGGTGATATGGTGGCCAAGCACAGGACAACATGTGGGAATTTTGTTTTTACTTGTATACTCTCAAGATAGTCCAGAACAATTTGGACCAAAGGAGAAGCATTTGAAATACATATGCATTTCTGTAACCCCATACTTTATTAAACATAATAGGAATTAAGAACACAGGCAGATGTGGTTCTTTCTTCCATTTTCATCCTGGGTTCTTGTTACAAATAAAGAGTCCACTTAATCTTATGTGTTAATCATTTATATTTTTCAAAATAACTTAAGGCACAATTATCTAGTGGGTTGTATTTACATTGTGCTAAGCCAGCTAGAGAAAGATGCATTTGAAACTTTTTTGTAAAGGAGACAAGGTTGTTTTTTCACTTACCTCTGAAATAGCCATTGATTAGTTCCCAGGTAACTATGGATCATTAAAAGATGCTTTTCTGTTCCTTTACCTTCTATGTAGATATTGTTTGTAACATACTGCAGTAGACAAAAAAAATAGCATTTTTAGACATTTTATCTATAGCAAATTTAATGGAAGGTGTCGATTGTGCTGCAGTTTGAAAAGACATATAGTGCACAAAAGTAATCCGTAAGCGATTTACAGTTTAAACTGCATTACGCATTAGTTATGGTGTGTGCTATCCCGTGTAGATTTGTAAGCTGGTCATTCAGAACTCAGCATATTTTCAACCATTCATTTAATCAATACTGGAGACCTATTATTGGGTATTATAAAAGAAGACAAAGATGAATAGATCTTAAAATTCAGCATGGAGGAAAATTGATTTTTAAAAGTTTCAAAGAGCTGTGTAATTTATATATGGTAATTAGTCATTTAAGGCAGATTGGTTAAAAAAGAAAATTTTGCTTCCTCATTACCACATTAGCATAGTAACAAATCTTCTAAGAAGTTTGGGCTTTTGAAGAAAAGACTGGGGAATAGATGAGCATCATCATATGGACAAGTTAGTTCTGCCTGGGACTTCCCAATGTCTTCCTCTGAGCTGTTCCTATTTTTCATAGTTGCGTGTCTTTCACTGCTTCTGAACAGACACTCAGTATAGTTGCAGTGGCTCCCAAGGCAGCCTGAGCCATGAGAGGAAGTGGGGTACTGCTGCAGTTTGTACCCAGAGACTACCTACAAATCTTAAGATGCATCTTTAAAGATGTATGTGACATTTTCCATATATTTTGATTTTCCAATAAGTTTTATATTATAAATTTAGGGAAAAGTTGGACAACAGAAAGTAAATCTTATGAATCATGAATATATTTTATAGGAAGATTAATTTAGGTCAGTAATAATTAAAATGGTATTCTTCTCATTGTGAGTTAATGGAGTCTGGTTTGAAGGTATGGCAAAAGAGGTATAAGTTTTTAGAAACTGTATGCCAGGAGGTTTAAGGGAAGAGGCAATATGATTATAGATGGTTGTGTAACCTCTCACCCTCTCCAGAATAATATAATCCAAAAATCCCTGAGCCATATTTTTGAGTGATTATTGCTTCAAAGCCAAATAGCAGTGAATTATTTTCTGGAACAACAGACGGATTTCCAGGGCTTGAGAAATCTTAGATAATACTGAAAAGAAGAAAGAATCATTTATGATTTTTGCCATTTCTAGCACAAATCTTCTAGCTTTGAAGAGGCAGAAAGTCTTAGCCAATGTAGGGCTGAGTGGATCTTCTTCTGTACCCTTAGATATTATAGATAACATAACTTGCCCTGTGACCTTGAATATGTTATCCCATGTACTTACACACATTCTTATATTTAAAATGTTGTTTTGTGATCATTTCTTAGCAGTTAAAAATAAAAGTAAAACTGAAAAAGTAGGTTAGTAGTAGTTGCCTTTGGTCATGTGATCCCATTGTGGGCAGAAAGATCTTGGAAAGACATCATATCAACCCTGTGGGACATCTAGAGAAGCATCTAGAAAATGAGACTTTTCCAGAAAGATTCTGTTCAACTTAAATATGCCTCATACTTTTTTTTTTAACTGTCATACTGGAGCAAGGATTTTTAGCCTTGGGAGTGGTTTTTTGATACAGTTATTTGGCCAACACTCCATAATGGAAAAAGACGCCCCTTGTTACAAACTTAGGGCTAGAACCTTTTTGTTCTAGGCATTAAAATAAGACTAGTTATTATTATCTAGTATGTAATAATTTTTAGGAACTTATCTTTTCATGAAGTAAATCAATCACATAACTGTGAAATTATATTCTGTTAAAAGGACTACATTTTTCTTTGTGCCAGTGTTCTTTACAACACATGTATTTATGTTCAGGCAGCAAGAGGACCAGGCCCCTTTAGGAAACATTTTCAGTGGTAAGGTTTGCTGAGATATATTATATTTATCATAGAACATTTTCTCTAGTGATAGAAGTCAAAGCAGTGCTATAGTTAACATGATTTAAGAGCTTACTTTTCATAGTTCACTTTAATTTTGAATACCGGAAACTGTTTGTTATGAGTAGTTAACATTTAAACCTGAGATCTTCATTTCCCTACCCATTCCTTCCACAACAATAAAAAAATCCCATCTCAGTAAATGGCACCATTATTAACCCAGTTGCTTAAGCCAAAAGTCTAGGAGCTGTTCTTAATTCTTCCCCATCATTATCTCCCACATTCAGTCCATCAGCCCACTTCTCCTTTACCTCCAAAAATACTGGGCCGGTTCTCTCATCTTACTTGGTCTTCGACAGTAGCCTCTTAACTCCCACTTCCACACTGGTCCCTCAGTAATCCATCCTCTACCCACTACCAAGCTATCTTCTTAAAATGTTGAGTCAAATCTTATTCACCCCAGCTTAAAGCTTGATGGCTTCCCATTGCGCTTGATATAAAATCCAAGTTCCTTGTGGTAGCCTGTAAGCAAGCTCTTTATCCCTGCCTACCTCTCACCTTACCATGTACCTCTTCCCTGCTTCCCCCATAGTCTGAGCACCAGCCACACTGGCCTTCCTTCTATTCTGTCCCTTATGCCAAAGCATTCCCTGTCTCCTTGTCATTTTGGTCCTGCTCACATGTCACCTCAGAGAAGTCTTCCTGGCCCCCCATTTAAAGTAGTCTCCTAGGCCCACTATAGCCCATCATTCTTTTAATTTTTCATAGCATCATTCTTGATCTGAAATTATTTTGTTTATGTATTATTTTTCTCTTCCCTTTTTAGCTCTCATTAGCCCTATGAGAATAGGGACTGTGTCAGTCTATTTTACTTTCTCACCCTCAGCATCTGAAACAGTGCCTGATACATAATAGGTATATAGAGTATGTATTTGCTAATGAATGAACTATTTATAAAATAATGATTGATTTTAATCTGTGCTATCTCATCCCATTTTCTCATGAAGGTTCAAAATGACCAGTTTAGCAGAAAGTAAAATGAAGAGGACAGTAAACTAGCAAAACTAAAATTGTTATAAATCTATAATTCTGCTTTAAAAATTTTTCCTGTTAAAACAATGTGTATTTGTCCATATAAATAGATCTAAACATGCTCTGTATTCTTCTTTAAACTTGTTGGGCGTTAATAGGTGGTCAATAATAGTAAATTGTTTTATGGTTAATTACCTGTGAGTTTGCCTGGACAACTTAGATTTTTTAGCTGTATTCTAAAACATTTCTCTTAAGTTTATCCGAAAAAGATTTTAGAAGTCATACTTTGTTTCTAATTAAACAGCCTAGACAATTTTGTATTTTAAGTGATACTTGTTTTCAAAGGAGGCATTCTGAATACTTATGCAAAGGTAGATTTTAAAGTAGTATAATTAAAGAACATAGCTGAAGTAAGGCTTTAAAATTATAAACATATTTAATTATTGTCCAGAACTAGAATTGTATTTATATGATGGAAAGTTTTTGGTGTATTTTTAGACCAAGGTGGAGTTAAATAGTTTGGAGACAGGTCCATTCAGCTTTTGACTACTTGTCTTCTCAGAAGAGAAAAATAATTAATTAGTCTTCTAATAAGTTTAAATCTGATACAGAAGTAAATAAGATGCACCATTAAGTATCTAAAACTGTAAAGAAAGTCAGACTATTGAGAAACACAGCTGTGAATCAGACCTTCATAAACTTGTGCTATGTGATCAAGACCTTTTTTTTCAAATTTTATTTCATCATGTGTGACTTTTCTTCTGCCTCACTACTTAGTCCCGCTGAAGGAGTTATTTACATTGTAAACAGGACATTTTCCTTTTTACATACATCTTGGACATTTTTAAGGGGAGGTGTCTTTTTCTAATCAATTTTTTAAGTAGTCAAAGTAATGATCATATATTTATTACTAGAATATCATTCATAAATATATTTATATTGCTTTTGCATTTTAGTGAATTGACTAGTAAGGTTAATTGCTGTGGATTCTGTATTAGCTACTTTACTTAACTACAACTTAAATCTTCTTAAACTTACAGTGATAATCAGTCCCAGGGTTCTTACCTTAAAAGCCCTGATGTACATTTCTAGGTTTTGATGAGGCCTCCCCCATATCTTTTTTTTTTTTTTGAGACAGAGTCTCACTCTTTTGTCCTGGCTAGAGTGAGTGCCGTGGTGTCAGCCTTGCTCACAGCAACCTCAAACTCCTGGGCTCAAGCGATCCTACTGCCTCAGCCTCCCGAGTAGCTGGGACTACAGGCATGCGCCACCATGCCTGGCTAATTTTTTCTATATATTTTTAGTTGTCCGATTAATTTCTTTCTCTTTTTTAGTAGAGACGGGGTCTCGCTCTTGCTCAGGCTGGTCTCGAACTCCTGAGCTCAAACAATCCGCCCGCCTCGGCCTCCCAGAGTGCTAGGATTACAGGCGTGAGCCACCGCGCCCGGCCCATATCTTTTATTAATAGTATATTTGTCATACCTGAGCAAAACAGAAAGCTCCAAGTCTCCTGCCTGGCTTAGGATCTCAGATCACATGTTACTCTAAAACTTTACCTCCAAGGTTGCCTGTACGTGGCAGTAGGGGCTACTTTTATAGAGTTGTAAGTATGCTTCCATTGGCAGGGAAACAGAGGATGTTCATTCAAAAATGTCAATGGAAATATAGTCATCTTAGAATTCTTGTGCTAAGCTACAAAGATTCTTTAGGACAGAGCCAAGTTTCCCTGAGATTGTGATTGTGCAGCCAAACAAAGAAAATGTTGGCTTTTCTAAACTTGAGATCAGAGCTAAACAGAAAAAATGATTTACATTCACAATGATCACCCATGAAACTTGGTCTGCGAAGATTTATTCCACCATTGCCATGATTTCACCCTATACCTTAAACTTTAAGATATTAGTATTTCTATTCTTTCAACTGGGCAAACACATTATTCTTTCAGTTATTTTTTTATTGGTAAAATGTTTTTATATGGTTAAAACGTTGATAAAATTCAAATTATAACAAACACTCATTTTTTACTTTTTTTTTTTCTTAAAGCAAAAGCAGGTAAATTTTTAATAGTGGCCCTTACCCAAGTTCATGGAATAGAAATTTGTGCTAAGACTTCTTCATATTTTTAAATTGATAAGGATTTGATGTTTCATTGAATAGGAATTTATTTTCCAATTAGGAGGTGATTTGAGAAAAAGAAAGATTATAAAACAGGATTTTTTTTGGCTGCTTTTGCTTTTATCCAGGTTTTCATAGTGTCGCTATGAAGGGTAAAAGTGATCATTCTCAATACCTCATTGTACAAATAAAAATGTAGCCGTGAGAAGTCATTGACTATTAACTTACGTAGGGAACATACCGCATTTAAATAGTAACAGTACCAAATTCTGCTGCCTTCTGTTCATTGTTTTATATTGTGTGTGTAGCTGGTTCTTTCTTCCTCTGAACGAAGGGTATTCCCCAAGACCAAATGAGATACTTTTCTAGCTTAGAGAGGCCTTGTTCTTAAGTTTAATCTGTTAGTAAAATTTAACACTCTCCTGTGGTTTTGATTTCAAGATATTGAAGTACTAAAATATCTTAATAAGTAGGAGACTTATTTTTTATTCTATATAGCCAGGAAACAAAGCTAATCAATAGCAAATAAGTATAGTTTATTTGATTTTTGAAAGTAATTTTGAGCCTTTTTCTGTTGTGATTTATAGTCTACTCTTCTAGTATATTCTAACTAAAGTATTTTTCTTTATGCAGGTTACTCACTACAAACAATACCCACCCAACACAAGCAAAGTCTATTCTTACTTTGAATGCCGTGAAAAGAAGACAGAAAACTCCAAACTAAGGAAGGTGAAATACGAGGAAACAGTATTTTATGGGTTGCAGTACATTCTTAATAAGTACTTAAAAGGTATTACTTTTCCTAGTATATTTAAAACACTGCTTTTATGTAATACTTCATAATTTTTTCCTATAGTGTTATATTATTTGAGGTAAGTTTTTAAATAGTCTAATTTTGATATTTATTTAATTTCTTTAAATAACTACTTTAGAAGTCTTTTGGAATTTTTTTAATCTGTTAATCTGAATGCATTAAATCTTATAATTTGGTATGTATGCTTGATGTTCAAAGTATGAGAAAGGTTTTCTGAAACTGGTAAGTTTAGAAAAGTCAGTAATTTTTGGAGGTTAATATGGTTTGTTAATTAATTCAAAGTAAAGCATTTGTTATTGACCTGGAAACTCATTTTGAATTATGGTAGCAATTATAATTAGAATATTTTTACACTAGTCAGTTTTTACCTTAAAGACCTAATTTTTAAAACTACCTATGTCTGTGGACTTAGTTTCAAATGCATATTAAAACGGAAAAATCCCCAAAATAATTTCTGTGCTTTCTTATTTGTAAATCCATTTCTAGTCTATTTTGTAATGGTGTTTCTAGGGGGAAAATAGTTCCCAAACATCTGTACATCTTGGAAAGTTTTATCTCTATCTTTTGAAATAAAAACAATCTCAGAATTGAATATAGATTAAGTTGAATTTTATGCAAATGGTATCCTTTTTCTATGATCTTGGCTATTTTAAGATCAGACCATTCAGATAATGTTAAATTATTGAAAAAGAAAACCTAGCTAGATACCGAAAGGTACTTACTTGTGGCAAGAATACCCAAGATATTTTAAATGAATTTACTAGTTGTCTTCTATGAAGTTAACAAAGACTGATGGCACACTTTTAGGTCTACAGCTTAAAAACTCTGTAAAATATTATTTATTATTAATTATAACTAAAATTCATTGATTGCCTACACTAGGCCAGCATTATTTGTAAGTGGGTCATAAGTCTTATTTAGTCCTCGCAACCATCCTGTAAGTGGGTACTCTATTGTTTTCGTCACTGACAGATGAGAAAAGTTAACTAAAAGTGTTTTTGGGGGGCAAAAATTTAGTAACTGTGAAAATTACTTGCTTACCATCCCTGAAGAGATCACATTCTTTATGAATAAAGTGAGAACGTTCACCTGGATATAAGAAGCTTTTGAGTCATCTCAAATTTGAAGAGTATCTAAATTAATTGAGATAGAAAAGATATTTTTTAGAAGTTTATTGTGATTTTAAAAAAAATACTATACAAGTAATAATTTTTTCTATCAATACATCTGCTTTTGAAATAAATTAACATTTATGCTTAGAGTGAGTGGTTGAAGTATAAATTCCTTTTCGGATTCTACTATTCACTCTGGAGAGGTCATAACCTCTCAGTTATTTTTTTAATCCGCAGAATGGGTGAAATAACTAAAAATATTAATTCTGTGACAATTCAGCAACTCACAGAATGCCTTTAGAAATGTAAATAGGACATATGTATTCTTTTAGGTAAAGTAGTGACCAAAGAGAAAATCCAGGAAGCCAAAGAGGTCTACAAAGCACATTTCCAAGATGATGTCTTTAATGAAAAGGGATGGAACTACATTCTTGAGGTAAAAAATGGTTTCATGTTTTGATCTATCTTCGTTTTGCTTTTAGTTCAAAATTTCTTGCAAAGGAATTTGAATAGATTATACTATCATAATAATTCTTTTTTGCTTGTGATCTGAATAAAATGGCTATTTTAGACATGCTTGTGAAAAGTTAAGGGTAACATTTGATTCCTTCTCCCCACCAGTGGTAAATCATTAGCATATAAAATCGACATCAAGTCTAAGTAATTAAATCAATTATAATTTAAATAACTAGCATTTTTCAGAAAGATAATTTAATCCATTCTTGAAAATACACTATAATTAAGAAAGGACATGGTTATTTGACAATTTCAAAATGTAGATCTTTTCCTTAACTGTGAAAATAGATGCTGTGAGTCTATCACTACCAGTAATTCTGGGAAATTTCTCTCACTGAATAGTAAGAATGGTTGGTGCAGATTCATGGAGTTGATTTTTATTCTTTATTGTATTACAATATGCATACCTAGTATGTTTGGATTCATTGCTTAAACTTCTGGGCACTCAAAGACATGGTAATTGAATTACAAGAATTGAATGTCCTCTGGTGGTTTTCTTTATTACAAAGATCAGATGGGAATGGAATCTATTGGCAGCTCATGATGTTAAGTGTTAATTTAAATCTCACAAACAAAAGTCTTCTACATTGTACAGGCCATCAAACACAGAATAATTAGAAATACTTTAACTTTCATGTCCATATTATAATACTGAGTTTTACTATTTGGTAATTATGGGTCTTAGAAAAAGATAAGCACTCTGTGCTACACTTTTCCCATATTTTAAGTAAGGTCAGTAAAATCAGTGGGCTAACTCCTGTACTTGCCCCATTTCTTTTTTGTGAAGTTTGTTGTGAGGATAAATACAGTAATAAGATGAGTTTGTTGCTATGCTTATTACTGTAATTCCAACAGCCAAGGTTGTATGTCGTTTGATGATGATCACAAAATCTTAGGGAATTATAGGTTCTCTAGAGATAAACTTGTGTAACCCCATTTTACAAACATAGAATCTGAGACCTAGAAATACCAAGTAACTTGTGCAAGATCTCCCAGGTGCTCATAAGTCCAAGCCAGGATTTGTAAGGCAGTGTTCTTTTTTCTATATTATGATGCTTCCAGTGCTTCTCATTAATTTTTCTTTTATTTAATTACCTTGTCCCAAATCATACAAATAAACTATAAGGATTTCTGAAACAACTTGCCTTCCTAGCAAAAAGTTAGCCACACTTTTAGCTTTAAAAGGGAGAGGTGGTGGGAGGGGGTACAGTTAAATATCTAGTAGCTTACCATGTAGCAAATAACCCTCAGCCTAATTTTGGAAGGAATTGTTGCGTTAGTAAGAAGTCAGTTAAATTAGACTTGAGTGTTGATTGCTAAGGTTCTGTGCTTGGCCTATATAATGGTTTCAGGTCTACTACCAGAGTCTAGGGAGCCTTTTTTTTTTTTGAGACAGAGTCTCACTCTATTGCCCGGACTAGAGTGCCGTGGTGTCAGCCTAGCTCATAGCAACCTTAAACTCCTGGGCTCAAGCGACCTTCCTGCCCCAGCCTTCCAAGTAGCCGGGATTATAGGCATGTGCAACCATGCCCAGCTAATTTTTTCTATGTATTTTTAGTTGTCCAGATAATTTCTCTTTATTTTTCGTAGAGATGGGGTCTCACTCTTGCTCAGGCTGGTCTCAAACTCGAGCAGTCCTCCCGCCTCGGCCTCCCAGAGTGCTAGAATTACAGGCTTGAGCCACCACACCCAGCCTCAAACATCTGCCCACCTCGCCTCACAGGGGAACCTTTTTAGGGTTCTTCTGCAGGGATTTCCCTCTCTCTCCTCTCTCTTTTCTTTTGTTCTTTATTAGCAATCCCTTATTTTATCATTAAGTCTTTAGCCTTTCTTTTATGAAAATGGCCAATTTAGAATAAAGGTAGTACTCTTAGAAAATTTTGAATATATATGTTGGATTAAACTCATCCTTTCTTTTTTTCTTAAAGAGCAGGGAAACAACAGCTTTTTTGTTGTGATCAGTTTGGAATTTTGTACCTCTTCTAGTGGTAGATACTAGCAGAAGCACTTGACAGCATTAAATTTAAAAATTAATATCAGTGCCTAAGTTGTTAATAATTTTAACTAATTTTATGTTAAAAGGATAAGGATATTCTGACTAGAGTACTAACATTATAACATCTATAATTGCAATTTCTATGATAGTAGATTTAGCTTCTGTAAAATGTAAAGAACCTTAATAGAACAGATAATTGAGTATCATCTGTTAAATGAATAAATTTATTTTCTTCTCCCAGAAATATGATGGACATCTTCCAATAGAAATAAAAGCTGTTCCTGAGGGCTCTGTCGTTCCCAGAGGAAATGTTCTCTTCACAGTGGAAAATACAGATCCTGAGTGTTACTGGCTTACAAATTGGATTGAGGTGAATTGTTCTTTGTTTTTTAAATCTTATTTAACATTAATTGAAAATGTAAAGATTATTGAACTGGGATTCTAGTTTAGAATTTGCTACTACTAAAGCTATATAATCTCCCAAAATTTACTTACTTTTTCCAGGCCTCAATTTCCTCATCTATAAAATGACAGTTATACTAAATAATCTTTAAGCTTCCTTCCAGTGAAATCTAATGTTCTGAGATTTTTTCTAAACCAAATTATTACTTTTAAAGGTCAGTTGGATTTTGTCTGATATGTTGCCATTATAAAGATATGTCATCTTAGAGCAAAATTAGAAAACAGCACATTTCTGATAACTTAAGACATTTTATGATACTCTGTTCCAGTTGTACTAGAAGAACTTTGTTTAACTTTTAATAACTACTTTCTTCATTTTTCTCTAATCAGTTCTAATCTACTTAGCTTCTCAATAGTTTAATATAGATTTTATCTGTAAGAGGAAATACCCTAGAAAGTAACTACAGAAATAACACCTTAATATATAAGAAATTTTTACTTAGTTCTTACAGCTGACTCTTTAATTAGTTTATTGGTTAAACTAAATTGCTGTTACATTGTAAAATAATACACTTAAGATTCACTTATAAAAACTGAAAAAAAAATTGAAAAAGTAAGAGATCGACTCTTGATGGGCCATCAACCAATAATAGGCTAATGATAGACTCAGAAAAAGTATACAGTTAAATAAAGGTTTTAAATAGTCTATACCATATATTAAAGCTTTGAATTAACTTTTAACTCAAAAAAAAGGAATATATCTTGTTAGTTTTTGTACAATTGTTGACATTATTTGTACTGGCAAATATTTGATTTTGAGGGGATAATATTATTAAAACACAAGAGTGCAAGAGTTCTTATCCACATCATCTAGGCTAGGCTTTTACCTTAAATGCTGAAAGATCCCAAACAGATAAATCTAATTTAGGAAATTCATCATCTACGGATTAACCTTTTTCATATTTTTCTTTGTAGTTTTCTGACTGGGGATTTGGTCAATAAGTTTTCACCCTTAAGTATAATCGAAATTTCCTAAAGCAGATATTTATGGAAGTAGAGAACTAGTTACCATTCCACCTTGCTTCATGTACAGTTTCCTTTATTCTCTTCTGAAAGAGAAAAAACAACTGGCCTTAAAAAGAAATTTTTGCCCTTTAATAACTTATTATTTTTTTATTTATTTCACTAAGAAACTATAAAGTAAAAAATTTTATATTAGTTATCTTAAAGTGATAGTTTGTTAGCAAATATATAAATATCATTTTTAATAAAAGAAATTATTAAACATAAGTCTAATATGGGCCTGTTAGATTTTATTTAATAAAAGCAAATAGATCCTTGTTTTTAGTTGCTTATAACCTGAAACAGAATTTACATCAAGTTTACCTTCTTTCTACTAATATTTACTATTTTAAATTATTGTAGTCCTAGGTAAGTATTTGAAAAGGCATAAGAATTTACAGTCTAGTACTATCTATCCCTTATTGTAGTTCTGATAGAGCCAATGTTTTTTTAAAAAATGTGTTTACTCTGAATACCAGGTCTCCAGAATAGACTTTACTTCATAGACACTTTGCATCCTTTGTGTGGGGTCTTTTGGTGAGGTAAAGGAAATTCATCCTATTCTTACCAGTCCCCAACCCTAAGTTTACCACCTTGTATTTGAAATCTGCTAGCAGCTCCAACAGACTTGTTATTTACAAACTTGAAGATGTTCTTTAGGCAGTCCTTGATTTAGAACATTTTAAATAATAGCACTAAATAATATTTCTTTCAGTTCCATTTCCCAGTATGTGTTCAAAGTTGTTTATAATTATTTATTGATTGTTACTCACCTGGTAGTGGTACAGTGAATTTTAAAACATACTAAAATTATTGAGTTGCTTTTTAATTTCAGTATTGGTGCTAGGAGAAACCTTAGTAGAAGAAAATTTAGTTCTCTCCTCACATTTCCAAACCAGTTTAAGAGCTGAAGAATTCTGGGAAGGTGTCTCAGGCTTATGAGGGGCCTAATGAGCAAGTATATTGGGCTAAGCCTATCCCTCTTTTCCACCATAAAACAAAGCAAACTCTTTCTACTATTGAAAAGGAAAGATGACTTTAACAACAATTGCACTGATCAAATGTCCTCATTTCACAGATGGGGAAATTGAGCCCTGACAGGTGAACAGAGTAGGTGCCAGTACCATTTCTCATTCTTTGAAGCACTTATCCTGCATAGTCACATTATAACAAACACTTCTGAAAGGAAATTTACAGGTCATTTACTTTAGTCTTAGTTTTCAGCTAATCATTTTATCTTGTTTTGTGGGGCCAATTGCTCTTTTGGAAGTTTCCAACAAGGCCTGTTTTATTAGACCTTGGGTTAACCCAAACTAACTTGCCTTTTTTTCCCTTGCTTACACCTACAATGATCTTTTTAAAAGGGGAGTGATTTTATTAAGAGTGTAATTTAAGCTGATTTTGTTGGACTATGGAAAGGAAACGGTGATGTGAAGGATCACTGTGTCCGATAGTTATTTCTCTCCTTCTCTGGCATTTTTCGAGGGGTAAGGTCAATCTTCTACCTTTGTAACTCCACTGGAGTTTTTCACATTATGTTTTATATCTTTTTCATATTCCTAGATAATATCAATATTTGAGTTGAATTAAAATATGAGAGTTGATTGAATTAAATTCAACAAATGAATATTGATTAAGTACCAGCTATGTACCAAAAAAATGCTGGGCACAGAAATTAGAAAAAAATATGTCCCATTTAAAGAGCCTTTGAGGGAAAGGTGATGATTCATTCCTAACCAACCACTGCTATCATTAAGAATTAGTGCTGAGTTGGTGGTCGGAAAATAGGTAATTCTGTCAAAGGAATCATGAAATAGAAAATAAAAATCTTTAATAAGGGGGAGGAATTGCTAAGGAAATGGCACAGTGTTCTTAGAATGACAAATAGTCCAGTGGGGACTTCAGCTTTAAAGTGAAAAAAATGTGTAGTGTAGTAGGAGCTAAACCTGTCAGTGGTAAACAGGGCAAGATTATGGAAGGCCTCGAAGCCAATAAATTGACTCCCCACCACACACACACCCCATGGACAGTAGATGGCCATAGGCTTTTTAGGAATGGTGCAACCTGAGCAAAACTTGCTCTAGAATGATAACGAGTGGCAATATGAGGAACAATTAAAGAGGCTGAAGATTAGAGGTAGCATAGTCATGGGCAGTGGAATCAAAAGAATAATTTCAGAAGCAGAATGGTCAGAGGTTGTAGGTGATGGGTTATAGAGTTTAAGTTAGGAGTTGCATCTGTTTTCTGTTTCGTAACAAACTACCCCGACATTTAGTGGCTTAAAACAACTGTTATTTCCCACAATTCTTGTGGTTGACTGTATGGTCATCTGCTGGTCTTGCTTGGACTTATACGTCTGCTTTTAGCTGAGAGTTCAGCTATGGCTGGACAGTCTATAATGGCCTCACTACTTGTCTGAGGCCTCAGCTCAGATAGCTGGGACTACTGGCCCCTGCTTCATAACAGGCGTCTTCACTGCATGATAGTCTCTTGAGTTCTAAGAGAATGAGAACAGAAACTGCAGAATGTCTTGAAACTGGGAGTTGGAAGTCACACAACATGACTTCTTCCATGTTCTGTTGGTCAAAATCAAATCATAAGATCAGTGCACAATCAAGGGATGAGGAAATAGACTCCGTCTCTTGATTAGTAGAGTGCAAAGCTCCATTTAATCAATCACAGGAGTCTAAGGCTACAGTTTTTTTTTAAGATGGCCAAATTGGCAAGTCCAAGGTTAAATCAGCTTTTTATTTGTTTTTACTTATTTATTGATCACTTAGCTGGTATTCAATAAGAGCTTGTTTTATAAAATTTAAGAAGTTAAGTATCCTTTTAGTTCAACTGAGACATTGCCATCATCTTAGCGCTCCTTCAAAAACAGATTTCAAGCCGCTTCTAATGGCATACTGTCTGGTTTATAAAAGAGGTGGTGAATTCCTAAGCCATAATAATTAATATGGTTGCTGTGGTTAAGCATTAGACTTTCTTTGGAGTTTCCTGGCAGCCAAGATAAAAAGGGAAATCAAGGAATAGTTCTTATCAGAAAGTTAGAAACCTAACAATTCTTCTATTGTGTTATTTTGGAACTTACAGTCCCTGAATTAAAGTACACAGTGACCTTGCAGTTACATAGCATATACAGAAAAGTTTCATGTGAATTACTTATAATGACCTTTGATAAAAGCTAAGAACATAAAGCATAACTTAGTGAATAGAATTCTCTAGTGCTAAGATAAAGTGTCTCAAGTTTATAACCTACCAGTTGTCATATTAGATCTAAGGGAAAATTAGATCCAAGACTACCTAGAAGAGTAAGTGAATAACTTCTTTAGACCAGTATTATTCAAGATGCAGTCCATGGACCAGTGCTGGTCCATGACCTATCTGATGCAAATCCACATGAAATACAGAAATCAAGAATAAGCATTTAGAAACTTAGGGCAGTTTGACATTGCCTCAATATCCATGTGTGAGTGTACTTTATAAAACTTCTGGTTTATAACAGATGGAAATTTTTTTGGAAATTGATCCTTTCATCAGAGGTGGTCTTTCAAAATACTGTTTGCTTCTTTGGAGCTTTGGATAGAAACTTGGTTATTTGAAATTCTCTACTATTAAGGGCCTGGTGTGCTTATCTTCTTTGTTGCTGATTGGAGAGCTGAGCTATGTACTATGTCTGGAATGCACACGGTAGGCATCCTGCTGTACAGTTGAAATGTCTAATTGGTCCTTCTAATGGAGGGGAAGTCTAGGACGTACCTCCAAAGAAAGCTAAGATTTTCCTCAGAAAGAACCCAATATTTTATGTATTAATATTTGTGGTTAATTTTGTTACTACAGACTATTCTTGTTCAGACCTGGTATCCAATCACCGTGGCCACAAATTCTAGAGAGCAGAAGAAAATATTGGCCAAATATTTGTTAGAAACTTCTGGTAACTTAGATGGTCTGGAATACAAGTTACATGATTTTGGCTACAGGGGAGTCTCTTCCCAAGAGGTAAGAAACTGAAACCATCCTCATTTAATAACACGTGGATTGTTGGTTAGAGTACCACTATCAACTTTTGGAAATGTTAATTGGAATTGATCTTCATTCTAAGTAGGCCACATTTTGAAATTCCAAAGATTCAACCAGTAGATACATACTAAGTATCTACTATGTGTTAGCAAGGTATATGGAATATAACCTTCAACAAATGTCCCTGCCCTTTATATATTTGATGGATGGACATACAGAGACATAAAAATATATCAGATGTCAGATAATGCTACAGGGGAGTGCAAGGCAGGGTAAGCAAAGAGAGAGTGATGGGAGTAGGGGTGGGCACTACTAAGTAGGACTGTTTGAGAAGGTAACAGATGAATCCTTAAATATTTAGGAAAAACAATCTTTGTCATAAGGAACTATTATCTCTGATAATAGTTTAATATTTCTCTAAGAATAGCTAAAGATAATAATTCCCTTGGGAGCAATGCTTGTATCTTAAATATGAGTTTTTCTTTTTCTTTTTTGGATTTTGGTTTTTGGTTGATTTTCCAGACTGCTGGCATAGGAGCGTCTGCTCATTTGGTTAACTTCAAAGGAACAGATACAGTAGCGGGAATTGCTCTAATTAAAAAATATTATGGAACGAAAGATCCTGTTCCAGGGTACTCTGTTCCAGCAGCAGAACACAGGTAAAATTCTGTTAGTTTTCATCCTCCTTTTACCTAAAACAACTAATTTCTTCACTCTTGTATTTGTAACTCAGTGATGTTTTGCCTAGCTACAGAGCCAGGTACTACAGTAAATCCTTATGAACTTGAGCAATACAAATTCAGTGTTTATATTTTGTATAAAGATTGGAATCAGAGAGGTAGAGAACTTTTAACTGTGCTAGAAGAAACAGTTCACTATATTGCCATACGCAGTTAAGTTCTATTCATTACATTAAGTTTAAAGTATTCATTGTTAAGTACTGGTCACTTTTTTCCCTTTCCCCGTTCTTTTACATGACCTTACCTATCTTTGCCTTAGAAATTGTCAGTTTCTATAATTGTGGATGAGAAAGTAAGACTTTTGATGAAAGGGAACATGTCCGTATTCTTGTTATGCTTTCTTACCTGCTCTTACTGAACCATTTTCAGTTATGCTAGAAGGAAATTAAAATCTAGGCTACAGCTGCTTTGGTCCTAAAGCTGACTTTATTGAAAGTAAATGGAGTTTTTAAATGTATGTCAACACTTTATTTTATTTCTGGTGTTTATAACAAAAGTATTTACTCTAAGTATTTGAGAATGTTTATTAAGTTCTGCTCAAACTTGAAAACTGCAGAGTGCTTAAACCAGCAGTGAGTTTAGAATAAAGCTGAGCTTTATTATTATTATTATTATTATTATTATTATTATTATTATTTGATGCATATTAATTAACTTTCATATGCAAAGCAGAGTACTAGATGCTATAAGGGATAGAAGGATACAGTAAAAACTGATCTTATCTTTAGGATAGTACACAGTCTGCTTTGTTCCTTAAGTACTTTTAAAGAGGTACAATTAAAGTGCTATAGTGGTGCTAGGGAAGGAAAGGAAGGATCATACATTCCACTGGCAGAATCAAGAAAGCTTTTTATAGAGGTAGTATGTAAAATCTTAACTTCTTGAAGGAATGGTAAAATTCAATGACCAACATTGGGCGATTATTCTCTGAGTAAATATTTATTGCATTCTTACCATGTATTGAGCATTGTGATGAAAGAGCAAGAATGAAAGAGGAGAGTGTGAATGTGTTTAGGGAATAAGGGCTGAAACAGATTTTTTAGGGAACACAGGGTAGACCGGAAGACAGGATAAGCTTAGTAAGGGCCCTCGAATTTATTTTGACGTTGTATATTTAACTATGTGCACATCATGCTAGATTATTCTTAGGCATTTTCAAATGGGAGCAGGCACTGAAGTGTTTAAGCAAAGAAATGATATTATTAGAGAAATATTTTAGGAGATTATTTTGATAGTAGGATATCCTGTGGATTGAAAAAAAAGAAAAACCAGAAGTTAGGTTTTATAGAAAGCTATTGCAGCTGTCTTACGGAGATGAAATCCAGAACCAAGTGGCCAAATGAATGGAAAGAAGTAGATAAACATGAGCAATGGCTTGGGAGATAAAATTGCTAAAACTAAGGGCTCAGTAAAGAGTAGATTCAACTAACATTTATGAGCAATGCCATATTAGTGAGGCCTTGTTGAACATTTTACATACAAGTTTCAAGACTTCTGAACTAGGAAAGTCAGGGCGTCATTATCAAATAAAAGTTTTAGAGTTAGAATATTTTTATTTTGGACTAGATGTACATCTTTTAAAAATTTAATATAGTATGCACATAATAGATTCTTTACTGATGGTTTTGTTTCAAAGCAGTGTCATGAGTATACTGTAAATCTGAGAATAAGAATACCTTCTTTACAGCTTTCATGTTAAAATGAAAAGGACGCTGTATGTGGATACAGAGTAAAAATCCATTTTATTTTGATAGTCTCATATTTACTACATTTGTAAGTTTGACTCTGTAATATATGAGAATGCTTCAGATGTTCTTAATAGAAACATCTTTTAACACATTAGCTGCAATCAATGTGAGTTGTATTTAACTCATGCTAGTTTTGAGCCCAGGGCTCATGAAGCAAAACCTGGGCAAAACCCTACAGTTGGTTCGTGAAAATCTTAGTTGTTGATGTTCTTATTGTTACGGTTAATATTGACAAATTAATTCTAAAAACATGGATTAAATGAATAGAAGTCAATACATTTCATTTTTCATTAAATTTTTCATTAAATTAGAAAGGATCATTTTGTCTTCAAAGTTTTTATTGTTTTCATAATAAAACCCTGTGGCCCCAAGAAAAGTTTTTTTTCTAGTGTGGCAGTCAATGTGTTAAAAATAGCTCAGTATAGTGAAAAGAGCACTGGACTGAAAGTTGGGAACCCTGAGTGACCTTACGGCTGACATGGTTGGTGGCCTTGGGCAAGTCACTTTATCTCTCTGTTTTTCAGTTCCTCCCTCTAGCAAAACAAGAGGAGGACACTATCAGAAGATCATTGAGGATAAATGAGCTAACATCTAAAATAACTTTAAAATAAAAGAACTCTGTAAATGTAGAGCTTTACCATTATTACTATAAATATCTTCTTAAAGAATATATGAATCTGGACCTAGAATATTTAATTGCATAACCTTTTTGTCTCAAACTTTGGAAAGATATCAAATTTAATTTGGTGCTTGAAATTGGGATTAATAGCATGGGTGGAATTCATTGAACAGTTAAGATCTTCATATACCAAATACTATACTAGAAGAATAGATGTTAGGATTGTATTATGTAGAGGGTGCTATAGGGAGTGTGTATGGGATGATGAGATGAAGATATTCCACCTACTTCCTATCTAATAAGGTAGATCTGGAGCCCAGAAGAACAATACGAGCTAAGATACAGATATTGGAAACCCTCACCGCAAGAGTGTTTTTTGGGAAAGCTTTGAGATTTTCACACAGAGAGGTATTACAGAGGGAGACAAGTGCACAGGTCAGAGCCATGAGAAATATTGCCATTTGGCAAGTTAGATTGAAGGAGGAGAACACAGGATCTGGGGGAGACTGAAGAGGAACCGTAGAAATAGGAAAAAGAAAAATGAAACATGGAGATGTCATTGAAGTGAAAGGAAAGAAAGTTTCAGGAAAGTTCAGATGCCATGGAGAAAACCAAGTAAGATAGAAACTAAAAGTTGACAATTAAGCTAGGCATAATACAAGTAGCAGAGTTAGATGACTATATTGATAACAACTTTAGTATTAACTACTTAAGCAATGACTTCTAACTATAGAAGTTTATTCTTACGTTGTAAAGCTCTCCAGTGTTGGTACTCATTGAGCTTAATTCTCTCCCTTATAAACAAAACAGCAAGTCTGAATATGACAAAGGGGCTTCTCTTCAGCCATAATTTAACTTTCCATTTAGCCTGCATATGCTTTCATGAAGTAGAGAATTGACATCATAGCTACTGGCAGCCTCCGCAGTTATAGAAGAATGTTCACAATTAAATGAGTTTTATATCAATAGGCCTCCTCTCTGTTTTGGACAAGGATAGTCTCTCGGTAACCAGATCTTTATAACCTGAAGTGTACATGCTCAGCTACCCCCAGCATACCTTTGACAGTATGGGAAAAGCTGTTTGCTTCAGTCCTTTAGGAAAAAACTTGTTACATAAAATGACAATTGAAGACATAAGTTAGTACAACTCTTCAAACAGTTTTGAATTAAACCTTATGCTTTTATAATAAATGAATAAGCTGTCTCTTTATTTTACTGAGGAGTACAGGGTAAAGGCAAAAACTAGAAAATTAGGGAGAATGAAAAGTGGCTTGGCATAAGGAAATGGTAATAATTTTCAAATTAATTGTTAAATTGTTTAAGATTTTTAAAATTTACTTTATATTTTCCAAGAAATACACAGGTTGAGCATCCCAAATCTGAAATATTCCAAAATCTGAAACTTTTTGCTCAAAGGAAATGTCCATTAGACCATTTGAGAAAATCAGATTTTCAGATTTGGGGCACTCAACTGATAAGTATAATGCAGATATTCCAAAATCTGAAAAAATTTTAAATTTGAAACACTTCTGGTCCCAAGCATTTCGGATGAGGGGTAATCAACCTGTAATTACATGTCAAATATCAATCTATCCAATAAGAAGAATCAGTATTGAGGACATTGCAAAAATCACTCTAGCCTTTCTTACCTAATAGAAACTCTCATACTTTATTTCTCATCCTTAATTATATTTTGCTTAAACTAAATATTAAAATTTTTACTCCCTGGACATATATTAATGTGTAGTAGATAATCTATAAATGAAATAAATGCCTATTATTGGTCATTTGAAGATACAATAGTTAAAGAGTTAGTTGACTATATATATACATAGTATGGTATAAATAATTGTCTAAGTAATTGCCTCTAAGTGTAAGATTTTGAAAGAATAAAGACAAAATATATGTCCCTAATATTATTGGTATCTGGTTTTGAAAATTTTACAGAAGGGAGCCAAGTGCTTGCATTGCCTAACAAACTGTTGAGAGTATGTATTCATTCTTTCTAACATCTTGACATAGAGGGCATTCAGCAGGTGCTTTTTAGTTTGCTGATTTTAAATCAGTAGATTTAAGAATACCAAAAAAAAAGTTCATAATTGGTTAAATATGACATAAGGACTTAAGAGCTAAGTAACTTAATAACTATTGAAGAAGAATAAGGTTGCTTACAAACTAATTGTCTAGGGGGTGCTTGACCCAAATATTTCCTTTGCCTTATGGTATACATTCATTAAACTAACTCAGTCACCTTCTCTGTGATGTTAACAATTTAGTGTAGTCAACATGAGATAAGATTATCGTAAACATGAGATACGATTAACAATGCTTCAGGAATAGATGTGTCTGCTTAAGTAAATCTATATTTTCATTTTGTTTTCTAGTACCATAACAGCTTGGGGGAAAGACCATGAAAAAGATGCTTTTGAACATATAGTAACACAGTTTTCATCAGTGCCTGTATCTGTGGTCAGCGATAGCTATGACATTTATAATGCCTGTGAGAAAATATGGGGTGAAGATCTAAGACATTTAATAGTATCAAGAAGTACAGAGGCACCACTAATAATCAGACCTGATTCTGGAAACCCTCTTGACACAGTACTAAAGGTAAATTTTAATACGCAACTTGGTAATTAAAATGCCTGTAGACCAACTACATCAACACTGCTTTTAATTTCATTTATACACCAGCATCTCAGAGCTGTCTGGACCACTTCTCTTCTTTCATAGTTGCAGCCCAGAGAGAGTAATAGATTTGCCCAAGGTCACATGTTAATAGCAGAGAAAGAATACAGAGAATTATGGGTTATTTATGTACTCTCATTAGACGATCATGTACTGTTGAGTAGATATTTTCTTTTCAGCTTACCTTCAAATTTAATTAATAGCATTGCCATTTTAATTAATCCAGTGATTTGGGCACCAAATCTACTTGTGGTTTGTTTCTTTTCTTTTATCACAAGTCATTACTAGACGTTTGAAGTTGTTAGTGCAGAAGAAATATGTGCAGGGTTATGTGGAATAAAAATAATGCAAAAATACTTTTCAAGTAGTGGTTCTTTAGAGATTCTGTTGAATCTTAATGTAGCAGTGTTGCAAGTCAATTTCAGATTGCTTTCTTCAAAAAGCAATAATAAGAGCAGGGTTATTTGATGCCTACTACAAGATCAATACTGTGTTGGGTACTTTACATAAGATGTGTCATTTAATCTCTGCAAACCAATTCATCAATATGGAATTTTCTCATTGTTAGAATCTTTAATCTATTTAAGAAAGGGAAGTATTTGTTGTAGGTCTTTTGTGTCTCTGACCAAGCTTTCCAAGAATTTTTAAATCTGTGTACAAAACTTTCAGTAGTTAATGATTGAATAGGATGGTTTGCATATTATGCAATTTGGCTTTAATTAAGAGTAAAGGAGAATTTGACAGAAACTATGGGTTCTGTATGCTTCACTCTCAGCTTTCTCTGCCTATCACAGTTTCTCTGAACTTTGTGATTCAAATAGATTTATATTTGAGTTATATCAGACAAAATTAAACCAAACAAAATTATTGGGCACAAGCAGAATAAATCCAAGTCAAAAGTATAATCTGTAAGTTAAATGATGCTTTATATACTTCTTAAAAATATTATATTTGTTTAATCTCCTCATATTAAGAATTTTTCTTCTGAATCTATATAATTTGAAAGATGTGAGGAGAAAAAACTTATTTCGAGCCACTTTCTGGTATAAATTGACTCAATAGGAAATAGCATGCTTGTTTCCAATGTGATTAAAAGGGATTGGGACCAAATTTTAGAAGGCATATACATAGTGCTATAGAATTTTTTAAGTAGTTTTTATATTCTCAAGATTCTGTAGCAAAGCAAAGTCTTTTTTTTTAACTTTGGGAAGTTCTCATGCTTGTTTTCAGTTTTAGTTAATTGTGTTGCATGTGTATTTTTCTATACAGGTTTTGGATATTTTAGGTAAGAAGTTTCCTGTTACCGAAAACTCAGAGGGCTACAAGTTGCTGCCACCTTATCTTAGAGTCATTCAAGGGGATGGAGTAGATATTAATACCTTACAAGAGGTATGTGTTTTACATTAAAAGTTTTAGGCATTCCTTATAATTAAGCTCCTTTATATTACTTTGATAAACAGTACATTACGAATTTAAATACAGTTGTGAGTCTTTTCGTAAATGTTTATGTTGGTATAAGTCTTCTGTGCATTGCTTAAAGTTTAAAAATAATAGTAGTTTAAGATGTAGACCAGCCAAACCATGCTTACTCTTCTAGTCCTCATTGGCCATGATGAATCTAAAGAAGTATCGATATGAAACAAGAACATGTCAATCAAGGAATGTTCCTTGTAATATAAAACAGAAAGTCTTGACTCTGCTCATATAGGTCTGAGTTTTCATATAATTGAGCTTTAATATGCTAACACATGACCCTTGAACTTCCCAGGCTGCAGAACTGTCAGCTAAATAAACCTCTTTGCTTTATAAATTTAAAAAAAAAAAAAAGAAGGGCCGGGCGCAGTGGCTCACGCCTGTAATCCTAGCTCTCTGGGAGGCCGAGGCGGGCTGATTGTTTGAGCTCGGGAGTTCGAAACCAGCCTGAGCAAGAGCGAGACCCCGTCTCTACTAAAAATAGAAAGAAATTAAGCGGACAACTAAAAATACATAGAAAAAATTAGCCGGGCATGGTGGCGCATGCCTGTAGTCCCAGCTACTCGGGAGGCTGAGGCAGGAGGATCGCTTGAGCCCAGGAGTTTGAGGTTGCTGTGAGCTAGGCTGACGCCATGACACTCTAGCCCGGGCAACACAGTGAGACTCTGTCTCAAAAAAAAAAAAGAATTGAGCTTTATGTACTCTAACAATGTAAAACTCAGATGTTAGTAATGGGTGCTTTTTCAGAAATTATAGAATGGCTTGCCACCTCTTCCAAATTAAGCATTGACTGTCATAACTGTTACTAGATTTAACCAAATAGTGTAAGTGTTACAGGCAAACCTCGTTTTATTGCCTCACAGATAGTTTGTGTTTTTTTTATTTTTTGTTTTTGTTTGTTTTTAACATTGAAGGTTTTGTGGCAAAGCTGCCTCAAACACGTCTATCCATGCCATTTTTTTTTTCAGCAGTATGTATTCACTTCATGTCTCTTGTCACATTTTGGTAATTCTTGCAATATTTCAACTTTATTATTATATCTGCTGTGGTGATCTTTGATGTTACTATTGTAATTGATTTGGGGCACCACAAACTGCACCCAGATAAGAGGGTGAACTTAATTGATACATGTTGTGTGTTCTGATGACTACACCAACTGCCCATTCCCGCATCTCTCTCCCTCTCCTCAAGCCTCCCTATCCCCTAAGATACAACAATATTGAATTTAGGCCAGTTAACCTTACAGTGGCCTCTAAGTGTTCAAGTGAATGAAAAAGATGCAAGTTCTCACTTTAAATCAAAAGCTAGAAATGATTACCCTTAGTGAGGAAGGCATGTTGAAGGCTGAGATACACCTAAAGAGCCAGCTAGCCAAGTTGTGAATGCGAAGGAAAAGTTCTTCAAGGAAATTAAACGTGCTACTTCAGTGAACACACAAATGAAAAAGCAAATGACATCCCTGTTGCTGATAAGAAGAAAGTTTTAGCGGCCTGGATAGATGATCAAACCAGCCACAATAGTCTCTTAAGCCAAAGCCAATCCAGAGCAAGGCCCTAACTCTCTTCAATTCTGTGAAGGGTGAGAGAGGTGTGGAAGCTGCAGAAGAAAAGTTGGAAGCTAGGAGAGGTTGGTTCATGAGGTTTAAAAAAAGAAGCCATCTCTGTAACATAAAAGTGCAAGGTGAAAAGCAAGTGCTGATTTGGAGGTACAGCAAGTTATCCAGAAGATCTAGCTAAGATCATTGATGAACGTGGCTACAGTAAACAACAGATTTTCAATGTGCACAAAACAGCTTTCTATTGGAAGAAAATGCCATCTAGGACTTTCATAGCTAGAGAGGAGAAATCAGTGTCTGGCTGCAAAAGACAGGTTAACTTTCTTATTAGGGACTAGTACCTAGTTCCTTTAAGTGGAAACCAGAATTCATTTACCATCCTGAAAATCTGAGGGCCTTTCAGAATTATGCTAAATCTACTCTGCCTATGTTCTATAAATGGAACAGCAAAGCCTACATGATAGCATATCTGTTTATACACCATGGTCTGAATATTTTAAGCCCATTGTTGAGACCTACTGCCCAGAAAAAAAGATCCCTTTCAAAATATTACTGCTCATTGACAGTGCACCTGGTCACCCAAGAGCTCTGATGAAGAGATACAAGGAGATTAATGTTGTTTTCTGCCTGCTAACACACCATCCATTCTATAACCCATAGATCAAGGAGTCATTTCAACTTTCAAGTCACATTATTTTAGAAATACATTTTGTAAGGCTCTAGCTGCCATAGATAGTGAATCCTCTAATGAAGCTGGGCAAAGTAAATTGAAAACCTCTGGAAAGAATTCACCATTCTGGATGTCATTAAGGAACATTGTGATTCATAGGAGAAGGTTAAAATACTGGTATTAACAAAGAGTTTGGAAGAAGTTGATTCCAGCCCTCATGGGTGACTTGGAGGGGTTCAAGACTTCAGTGGAGGAAGTAACTGCAGTTACAGTGGAAATAGCCAGAGAACTAGAATTAGAAGTGGAGCCTGAAGACTTGACTGAATTACTACAATATCACGATAAAACTCGAACGAATGAGGAGTTGCTTCTTATGTGTGAGCAAAGAAAGTGATTTTTTGAGATGGAATCTACTCCATGTGAAGATGCTGTGAACATTTTTGCAATGACAGCAAAAGATTTAGAATATTACATAAACGTGGTTGATAAAGTAGCAATAGGGTCAGAGAAGATTGACTCCAGTTTTGAAAGAAGTTCTGCTGTGGGTAAAATGCTGTCAAACAGCCTCACATACTACAGAGAAATCTTTCATGAAAGGAAGAAGCAATGGTTACGGCAAAGTTTGTTGTTGTCTTATTTTAAGAAATTGCCATAGCCATCCCTGCCTTCAACAACCACATCCCTGATCAGTCAGCAGTCATCAACATTGAGGTGAGACCCTCTACCAGCAAAAAGATTATGACATGCTGAAAGCTCAGATGATGATTAGCATTTTTTAGCAACAAAGTATTTTAAAATTCAGATTTGTACTTTTTTTTTACACAATGCTATTGCATACTTAATAGAGTATAATGTAAAAATGATTTTTGTGTGTACTGGGAAACCAAAAAATTGTGTAACTCGCTTTATTAGTTAGTGTTCACTTTATTGCTGTGGTCTGAAACCAAACCTGCAATATTACTGAGGTATACATGTATTATCTTAAAACTTTCCCCTATTTTGTTTCCCAAATAAGGCCTCTTAAGAGCCATAACTTTAACTAATACCTAAAATACCCCATAAAAGTTATGAATATCACTAACATGACGTAAACTGTCTACTATCATAAGCCACTGACATTTTGATATATGCCAGTCTCAGATGATATACAGCCATGTAACACAAGTTAAAGGATTTTTCTGTTTGAAAGAGTTCCGTGGTGTTATGGTAAGGTAAGGTCAGTACCCAAATTATAAGTAATTTGTTTTCCAGAGATTGACTTGAAAGTGAGAGCTATTGTATATAACAAACAGTATTTCTGTGGAGATGCATGTTTAGAGTTCCATTATGAGGTATCTGGAATAGATCTCTCTAGTAAATAATAGAAATGGAGTTTCTTCCACTAAGTCTCCTGAATTGCTTTGCTGAAGAAAAGTGGGAACTCCAGCTTCTCTAAGACAGTTGATCTTAGGACATTAGGGGTTTTTCATGTGAAAAGGAAGGAAGAAATAGAATAAAAGTCTTCAAAGAGAAGGAGGAGGACCTAGAATATAGAAATCCCAGCTGGCACATCTAATTGCCATTGTCTCCTCTCAGCTCACCTGAACTATTTTTTACGTTGGTGTCAGTTAAGTACTATTACCCATACCTACCTTGCCGCGTTTTAGCAAGTGCCCTAACACCGACTTCTCTCCTGTTCGATGGAAGAGCATGGGCAGGGTATTGTGCCTGTGTCAGAAAACCCCTTAGCCTAGTGCCCTTCCCGTTGCTTATGCGCACCCTTCCTCGTTCCGGAAGTCAGCAGGCTGGGTTGTTCAGTCAGGTATTTGAACTTCCCTTTAAAAACCAAAGGTCTTTTTCTTTCCTTTCTTTTCTTTCCTTTTTTCCCCCTTGTTTGTTTTTTAAATAAACTGTGAGAATGTATATGCATTTTTAAAGTTGAGAATCAGCTCAAAACATTACCTTCCTTTTAACCACATGAACAAGAACTATATTAAGACGCATACTCTTTGGCATTGGTAAAACCTTAAACAGAACAATTAGAGGATTGAGTAGTTTTGCGTTAATGGAGATGCATTCACGGGATATGGGAAACTCTTAAAGAAACTGGGCCTGTTGGGATAAACCCATTGTAAACTGAAAATATCATTAATGTATGATATTTTCGAATATCGAAAATGTATTTAATACACGCAACCTACCAAACTTCAAAGCTTATTAGCCTAGCTTACCTTATATGTGCTTAGAACACTTATATTAGCCTGTAGTTGGGCAAAATCATCTAACAAAAAGCCTATTTTATAATAAAGTGTTGACTATCTCATGTCTTTATTGGTGTTCTACTCAATGTGTATCACTTTCACACGATCATTAAGTTGAACCATTGTATGTCAGGGACCATCAATACCTGATTTCTTCATATTAAATGTGGGTCTAAATATGTCTTTAGAAGAGGGAAAAGGAATTCATTTAGCATTTGCTTTGTATGTATGCTAAATTAGATGCTTTAATTTTGACAAAATGGAAAATCTGCTTTATTTGAAACAACTACTTTCTCTCCTTAACTGTCAGCCTCCCTCTTGAACTTTGCTGCGTACGGTCAGTCACCCCTGTGACATTGTGACATCCCTTGATGTTTACAGTGTAACCTTACTCTAGGTTCTTGTGTTCCACTGTGTAACAGAATGAAACTCCTTATTTAAGAAAAGAAGCAAAAGTCTATGTTGGACAAATGCAAAGTGTCCATCTTCTTTTTCTGTTTGTGTTTCAATTAGGGATTCAGTCTTCTTGAGTATAGTTGAAACCTCTTCATGGAGTGGTCATTAATAACATTAAAATAGTACTGAATTCTCAGAGTTGACAAGAGAAAGATTTCTTTGAAGCTCTACATATTTTAAACATTTTTCTTCTTATACTCAATTATATCTTATTACCCTATGCATAGGTCAACATTTTTCTCCCTTTCTTCACCTTTAGCTATCTTGCTATTCTTTTCCAGGAACCCTTTTCTCTACTTTTTTAGTAAATATCCCCTAAGTATTACAACTTTGGTCCAGAGACTTAATAGAAGACATTGGTTTTGTGTAAATCTTAATGAGAAGAACAAATTACTTTTTTGATGTGAATATACATAAAATATTACACTTGTAGACTGTAATACATGATTCAAATGTACGGTTGGGATAAGACAAATAATTAAATCCTAATGGCATAATATTATTTGACTCTTTGATTTCAGTTAAGTTAGATCCCTTAGTTATAAAACTTGAAAATTTGTTATTCAACAGAAGAGTTAGTATCTAAGACTGATATTTTGTCAGTTCTTGTCTAATCAGATTTTTTTTCTGATTTGTCATGTGTAAATGTTTTTAAATAGTACTTTTCCCTTAGTTCTATAATTTCCCCTTAACAGAAAAGTTGATTTTTAACTCCCAGTTGCCTAAATTTTATAACTTTTAGTGAAGAAACTTGGCCTGAAATACAATGGTAGGGTATTAGGCAGTGCTGTACTTTACGATTTTCTCATTACTCTGCTCCTGAAGCATCACTAAAATCAGGTGACAAATCTGAATCTACCTGTTTGCCTTTCCTTCCTTACCTTTTCTGTTCTACTCTTTGCATTTCTCTCATATTGAAATTTACTATGTTCACAGTAATTTCAATGAAAAATAAATCTAAATTCAGGGGACTTAGGTGCCTTTGGCTTCAGGTACAACGATAAAGACATGAGACAGGATTTGTGTACAACCTAAAGGAATCACTTTAAAATAAATCTTATGTGTTCCATCTTGATTCTTCTAGTTTAAAAGTACACATAGCAGGAGAATTAGACAGTTGAGATTTTAAAAGAAAGTTGCATTTCTAAATGTAGGTTTCTTAAAGGATGAAGGCGCTTGGGGTTTTTTTGTTTTTTCCTTTGCAATGTTGAAAATAAAAAAGACAATTTGAGACTATTGGTATTTGGTGGGAATGTGGTAAATTTGTATTAACAATTGACATAAAGTTATTAAACTTGTCTATGATTTTCTAATCACTCTTCCAAAAAGGATCCAGTGATAAATCTTAGCCCTCAGAGCATCTGTCCATAATTTTGTTTATGGCATTCGAGCACCAGCCAGAGTAGAATGACTCTACCAATATCTCAACTGTTATGTAGGATAGAGTATTTTATACTCTTTTGCCACCAATATCTATTGACTTTAACATGTCCCATTACGTATGTTATATATGACGTGTAATAATGTGGTGTATTGTGGTTTACTAATGATGAGTAGAATCATTCCTAGAGTCTAATAATTTGGGGGCAAATGTTTGGGTCCCTTTGCTTGTGCTGTTGACACCTGGGCAATAACTCAAGGAGGTGGATGAGAGAAGTCGACTCAAGTCACCTTAGATATTCACGGCCAATTTTTTCTCACTTCCTCTCATTTGTTTTACTCCCCCAACCCTAACCACAACCATAATGACAACAACACAGATTCAGAATGAAATCTCCTTCCAAACATATCCATCTTAGGCTGTCCTTTTGGGGTTAGTAGGTCTTTAAAAAGAAAATGTGGGATACAACTTTATCTAGGCCTTTTTCTTATCTAATTATTGACTGTTATAAAACATCTCTTGGATGCTTCATTAATCTGTATTGCCCTTTGAAAATTCTCTCTCACTGTCTTCCAAATTACTTAGGTTTGCTTTGTTTTTTTAATCTAGATTGTAGAAGGCATGAAACGGAATAAGTGGAGTATTGAAAATGTTGCCTTTGGTTCTGGTGGAGCTTTGCTACAGAAGTTAACAAGAGATCTCTTGAATTGTTCCTTCAAGTGTAGTTATGTTGTAACCAATGGCCTTGGGGTATGTCCTTCAACTTTTACTCTTTCTATTTTAGTATTTTCTGTATGTATCTAGGTAGATTGTGGTTATTGAGTGCAATAATCAAAGGATAATATGGTCCTAGGCTGTTAGTATGTTGTCAGGTACTAACTGACCTTGTCTCAGAAACAAGGAAAAGAAAGGAGATATTAGGTAATAACATAATTAAGAAGAAAAAAAAAGACTTGGAAAAAGGAGGAACAATAAGGTGAAAGATTATGTAAGAGAGATAATACAGGTCAGTCATTTCCCATGGCTTCACAATATACCTTTGGATCAAAGAGTTGACCATATTTGAGTAGGAATGTCAGCCATCCTAGCCAGCATATATTAACGGTAAGCAAGTATGTAATACAATCATTGTCAAAACAGTTTTAGGAAAGTAGAATGTGAAGTTTGGATTGTGGCACCAGAATCATGTTCCAGCAGCCATGGAACAGCTAGGCAGCTAAACAACTATCCCCCTAGCTCCTCCATAGCCTCTTGAGAGCAGGGGAGTCTGTGGAGCAAATGGCAGAGGTGGGAGGATGCTAAAAACTCCTAAAAACACCTGAGTTGGTTCCCTGCTTTGCTATCTTTCCTCTTTGGAGAGTTCTGGGATTGACTTATTTGTTGCTCTCATTCCACTGCCATTGTTAATTGCTTCTATTATGTTTTGCCTCCTATCTTTCTGATCCTGAAACAAACATTTTGCTCTCTTCAGGTACTCTTAAGTTTTTTGCTTCTGACAATAACAAAGTAAAGTAAAAAGTAACAAAAGGGAAAGGTTACAAGTTAAGAAAGCCTTTACCTTAGTAATATCCTAGTTCCCCTCCAAGGATTTTTTTTAATATATTTAAACATATATAAATATATATATGTGTGTAGTTTTGGCATAGTTGGGTTTTTTAAATAGCATGTATCAGTTTAGAGGCAGTTTATATTATTAAAGGAGATACGTTAAGGGTCATATGTTACAATACTCAAAGACTTCCAAAAAATGGAGTGTTAGGTATTTGTCATTGGTCAGAAAGGATATCTAAGATTTGGGTTCCATTTTTACCTTTTCTCATAACAGACTGTCCATCAAAACAGGCTAAAAAGTTATGTTTCTAAAAGCCAGAATAGATTTATTTAGTTATACCTATTAAGTGTCTTAAAACTTACACATAAAGTATATACTTTTTTGTAAATGACATTTGGACATTTCTGATGATTAGTCTATTTCTCTAATTTTCTTAATTTGAATTTTAGGTTAATGTCTTCAAGGACCCAGTTGCTGATCCCAACAAAAGGTCCAAAAAGGGCCGATTGTCTTTACATAGGACAGCAGCAGGGAACTTCGTTACCCTTGAGGAAGGAAAAGGTGACCTTGAAGAATATGGTCATGTATGTATTTATGCTGATTTTTTTTTTAACAATAGTGGGTTGGCTCTCCAAATTAATAAGAAAGGTTTTTATGTTGTATTTTACTTTTAAATTCTTTTTAGAATAATTTTTGTAGAGGACAAAGTAATTGTATTATAAAATGTGCAGTTGCTGACCTGGCCTACCAAAATAAGGTGAAAAACAAGTTGCTAGGTCGTAAATCCGAAATCTGTGTATACATTGGGAGAAATATTTTATAACATCCAAAAAACTGAAAGTTTTTTTTTTTTACATTGTGGTCAGTGTGGTAGTGATTGTTGACCTTCAGCAAGCTTCTGTATTATACTTGATCTTAATTTTGCTGTCCATTAGCAGTGGATCATTTCTGAAAAGGTATAGTTAGGAATACTTAAAAGGATGCTGTTTGTAGAAAGACTTCTAGCTGTGTTATAGTAAAATTTTGGTAATTTTAATAGGTAATAGAGGGGCTATCCAGATTCTAAAATGTTGAAGATAATTCTGTTTTTTTTAAAAAATTTAATAGTGTCCAGTTCAGATGGTTTTCTTTAGTCTCATTTAATTCTCATAGCAATCCTATGGGCTAAAAGTGCATGATACTATCTTAATAGTGTAAAATGTGAAGACAGGGTGCCTTGCTTCAGATTACATAATTTATAAATGGTGAAACCTTGACTTAACCTTTAGTTTTCTGATTCAAGTCAACCAAATTGAAAAAATTTGTAGTATGCTAAAGTAGTCCATATGATCTAATGGTCTTTAGTATACAAAAGTACATTTATATTCATGAACTCAAGTTATAAAATTTTTGGTTTTTAAGCCACTGGATTGAAGAAAACTCAGTTTTAGAGGGAAACTACTCATGAATATTCATATTCTCAAAAGTTTACACCAAACACACACTAATTTATTATTTTCTATTTTGATTCTTTATAATGTCAAATTTACTGTTATGTTACTTTTATCATTTTTTAAGGTTTTGAGCCAGAATTGATGAAATACTTTTTTTGTTATATTTAATGAAAAATATATAAATTCATAACTCAGACTTTTAGAATTGATTCTTTTATATAGCCTGTTAGGCAATTCTTTGAGCAAGCCTCACTTAACTCTTGCATCTAGTAAGATTTTGCTGAATTAGTTTATCCCAGATGAACTAAAAGTCACTTGAGACTAAAAGTAAAAACATAAGTGTGATTTTAAAAAAACATCGATTTTAAGAGTATGTGGTAATACACTAGAACATTCAAAACACTAATCAGTTTATAATCATCTAGGTATTTTGATTTAAGAATAGGAACCAACCTTCCCCGATAGGTTATATTTAAATTTATGAAAGAAAATGCTACTGCTGGGGTGGCGTGATTTGAAGCAACACAGTGACAAATATATTAGGTAATGTCATATGCACCTCAATCTTCTGACTAGATAGAAAATTGAGATTACTTCTATGGATTTTTCAAAGAGAAGCTAGAGGCAGATATCTCCTTGTTAAGGTAGGCGTGGCTTTACCAGATCCAAAAGGAATTTAGTCCTAACTCCCTTAATCTCTCTTTGTTACCCTTGTATGGATGAGGTGGATTACCTTTATCAGTGACTTTTGGAGTATACATAGAGTCTTTAAGTCAGTCACTATGCATTAGTCAAGAAATAATACCTGTTTTTGTTGGTTTGGGGTTTGGCTTTTGTTTTTTTGTGGATTTTTTAAAGCCAGAATTTAGTGCCTAGCAAATTTATTAAACGTCCAGGTTAATAAGTTTAATCAGTGTAGAATGTGTTGGCCTGCAATTAGGAATGGTTGGCAGGTTTTCCTTGCTGTACTGTTGGTGTTCATTGTCAGTGACAGTCATAGTTCTCCTGGTGACCACCTCAGAATAAAAAAATGGTCAACTAGGTTTTTTGTTTTTCCTTTTAAGAAAACTGGCTTAAGAATGTAATATTTAGATCAATCCTTTTCCTAAAAGTTGAATATTTCTACATAGCAGGCAACTCAGTGATTTGCCATTTTAGATAGCACCTTGTTCTCTGCCTGCTCCACCAGCATTTTTTGTGTATCACATCATTTCATAGTTTGAACACCATCAACATCTCTTTGTATTGGATTTAGGTATTTTGCTTGATAATCTCTTCAGCTTAATCATTAAATTTATTACATTTATACAGGATCTTCTCCATACTGTCTTCAAGAATGGGAAGGTGACAAAAAGCTATTCATTTGATGAAGTAAGAAAAAATGCACAGCTGAATATCAAACTGGAAGCAGAACCTCATTAGGCTTTGTTTTATGACTGGGTGTGTGTTGCGTGCGCATGTGTATGTGTATATGTGCCATACACATATACACCTGTGTGTGTGAGTATGTAATACATAATGTTTATTGTATAGATATGTATGGTTTCTTTGTGTTTTATGATACATTACAGCCAAATTATTTGTTGGTTTATGGACATACTGCCCTTTCATTTTTTTATTTTTTTTCAGTGTTTAGGTGATCTCAAATTAGGAAACACTTAACCATGTAAAAGATTAATGCTAAAGCAAGCTTTTTAGGGCCCTTTGCCAATAGGTAGTAATTCAATCTGGTATTGATCTTTTCACAAATAACAGAACTGAGAAACTTTTATATATAACTGATGATCACATAAAACAGATTTGCATAAAATTATCATGATTGCTTTATGTTTATATTTAACTTGTATTTTTGTACAAACAAGATTGTGTAATATATATTTAAAGTTTCAGTGATTTAACAGTCTTTCCAACTTTTCATGATTTTTATGAGCACAGACTTTCAAGAAAATACTTGAAAATAAATTACATTGCCTTTTGTCCATTAATCAGCAAATAAAACATGGCCTTAACAAAGTTGTTTGTGTTATTGTACAATTTTGAAAATTATGTCAGGACATAACCTATAGAATTACTAACCTCACTGCCCCTTGTAGAATATGTATTAATCATTCTACATTAAAGAAAATAATGGTTCTTACTGGAATGTCTAGGCACTGTACAGTTATTATATACCTTGGTCGTTGAATTGTACCAGTGAAATGCCAAATTTGAAAGGCCCGTACTGCAATTTTATATGTCAGATATTGCCTGTGGCTCTAATATGCACCTCAAGATTTTAAGGAAATAATGTTTTTAGAGAGAATTTTGCTTCCACTCTAGAATATATACATAAATGTAAAATATTGACACAAGTGGAAGTAGTGTATTTTAAAGTAATTACACTTCTGAATT